GAACCCCACCCCAGCCCCGGCAATGACTGATCTACTTTCTATGTCTACAGATTTTCCTATTGTGGACTTTCAAATAAATGAAATCACACAGTATGTCATACTTTGTGTTTGGCTTCTTTCACTCAACACGGTGTGTCAAGCTCCTCCACGCTGCAGCATGTGTCAGAGCTTCCTTCCTGTTTATGGCTGAGGAACAGTCCGTTGTACAGATGTACCCTATTTTGTCGATGGACATTTGATTTGCTTCTACTTTTTGGCTATTTTGAATAATACTGCTATGAATATGCATGTACAAGTTTTGTGTGGACGTCGTTTTTCATTTGAGGCATGTACCTGGGAGTGGAATTGCTGCGTCATATGGTAATTCCATGTTGAGATGGATTTTTAAAGCAAGAAGCACGCCTGGTACCTTGGGCCCAGGTTTGTTGCACGCTGCCAGGTGAACAAGCTGCAAAGCAGACTGGCTGCTGGGGAAAGAGGCGAGGCCTCCCAGATGGGGGACCAACGAAGGGCCCGATCGGAAGGAGGAACGGGCTTTTGTATTGTGTTCCCGCAGGGGCCAGCACCTTGGAGAGGCCTGTCTGAGAGTGGCCTGGGGAGCCTCACGCAGAAGGCAGGGTTTCATGCAAGGGGCAGGAGGGGGTCAGAGCTGGGTCTTGGGCAGGGCAGGCCTTGCAGGAATTTGAGAAAAAAGAAAGACAGAGGAGGAGACAGTGAATAGGGCAGAGAGGGGAAGAACGTAATGAGGCTTCAGTTAGCAGGGTATATTCAGGGGAGGGCCAAGGTGCGGCTGGAAGGAGACGGGGAAGCTAAGCTCCGACGGCCATTATCTACCCTGATGTCTTTGAGATAAAGGGGTCTCCCAAACTGCCCAGGGTGGTTAGACAGGTCCCCGAGAAACCAGGAAAGAAACTAAACTTTTGTCTAAATACATGCTCCCCCTTTCCAGTCTGACCAAGCACATACCTACACACCCTGCCAACCCAGTGGCTTTGTGTTTTATTTGAACTGTTTTCTGCTCATTGCACCCTTCTCCCTCCTGGCCTGCATGTGGCGGCCTTCTTCAGCATCTCTCTCTGCTAGAAGGGAGGGAGAGGGAGGGGGAGTGAGGCAGTGCAGGGGGGTTGCGGGGGGGGGGGAACATGTGCGCACGCCGGTCCTGCCCTGAGCACAGGGCTCCTGTCTTCCCCTGCACCCACTCTAACGTCCAAGGCTTTCCACACCCAGTCCCGCCAACGCATGCCCCTGTGGAGGCACCCAGAAACTATCCAGCCCTGGCTGTCGGTCTGGGGCAAGCAGTAGGCAGGACTGAGCAGGAATCCTAGAGAAAGAAATAAGAGCTGCCTTTGGGACTCCCTCTCTCCAGGGCTCTGCAACAGCGCCCGCGCCCGCGCCCCCCGCGTGTCCCCCCCGCCCCCCCCCCCGCAGCAGCTGGCCCTCTCCAATGTTCAGCCAATCCCCCACTGACAAGCACTAGCCTGGTGCACAAGCCAGTAATCACTTAAGCTGAAAAGCACTTGCAGGGGTATTAGCATTTTAACTGAGATGTGGGGAGGCCCCAAGGAATCAAGCTTTAGAGGCTGGTTTCAGGGCCAGTGGAGGTTCGGTTTATTGGGGTGGGGTGGGGGATGGGGAATTGTGGTGAGCTATCCAGCCCTATCAAGGTGGTGAATCCCATTTACACACAGGCCGCCCCTCCGATATGCCCCCATTTCCACGGAAGCCTGCTTTGCTCTTAACCAAAGGAAAGGGTTCTTTGTGACCTTTTGTCTTGGGGATGGGAGGACTGAGGATCAGAATTTAAACCTGAAATGCTGACAGGACCTACTCTCCCCACCCTGCCCTACCCCTACCCCTACCCCTCTGATCCCAGCAGAAAGCCCCAAAGGCCCACAGCTTCCTTCCCAGGTGTGTCACCTCAGAGTCAGCCCACACCTGTGCCCAGGAGTATAGGGTACAACTTGTACTCTGCAGAGTTGAAACTGACTACTCACAGAGCAAGAGGCATTTCAAAGTATCTGGTTCCAGATACAAATGACTGGGTTCAAATCCTGACCAGGTCTCTTAATAGCTGTGGGACCTGGGGCAAGTCTCTTAACCTCTCTGTGCCTCAGCTTCCTTCTGAAAAAACGGAAATAATAGTATTACTCTTCAGGGTTCTTGGGAAGATTGAATGAGTTCATACAAGTGAGGTACTAAGACCCACACCTGGAAGTGGGTAAGTGCTCAATAAAGTTAGTCATTATTGTCACCATTCTCATTTTTCCTCTCTGTGGGTAGCTTTCCTGCCGTGAGACCCTTTCCACTGCCTGTTCAGAGCCCCCTGCTGAGTAGAGACCCTAGAAGGAGGTGCACAGCAAGTGAGGAAGAGTCGGCCCAGCTGGATGTGTATCTCTGCCCTTTTCACAAGGCCTGGCCTAACAAGCTGTCATTTAGAATTATACTCATTCCCCTTCTAGTTCTCTGTACTACACATGTTCCTAAAAAGTCCAGGAGGAGGGGCTTTTGTAAATCAAAACACTGTAAGACACAAGAACAAAAACAGAAAAACACCTTGAAAGATTTCTCATTGAACCTCCAGGAAGATCACCTCATACCTGTTAGAATGGCTATTATCAATAAATCAACAAACAAGAAGTGCTGGCAGGGATGTGGAGAACAGGAAACCCTCAGGCACTGCGGGTAGGATTGCAAACTAGTGCAGCCACTATGGAAAACAATATGGAGGTTTCTCAAAAAATTACAAACAGAACTACCATATATGATCCAGCAAGTCTACTCCTAGGTATTTATCTGAAAAAATCTAAAACAATAATTTGAAGACATATGCACCTCTAGGTTGACTGCAGCAGTATTTACAATAGACAAGGTATGGAAGCAACTCAAGTGTTTATCAATTGACAAATGGATAAAAAGTGTTGGTACATATATACAAAGGAGTATTACACGGCTACCAAAAAAAGAATGAAAAATGCCATTTGTGACAACCTGAAGGACCATAGACCTAAAGGGTATGAAACTAAGTGAAGTAAGTCAGACAGAGAAAGACAAATACCATGTGACTTCACTTATATATGGAAGCTAAAAAACAAACACAACAGAAATAAACTCATAAGTACAGAGAACAAACTGATCGTTGCCAGGTGGGAGGGAGGCTCGGGGGGATGGGTGAAAAAGGCAAATGGATTAAGAAATACAAATAGGGCCCTGGGCAGGTAGCTCAGTTTGTTTGAGCAACATCCTGATATGCCAAGGTTGTGGGTTCAGTTCCCAGTCAGGGGACATACAAGAATCAACCAATGAATGCATAAATAAGTGGAACAGCAAATAGATGTTTCTCTTTCTCTCTCTTCCTCCCTCTCTCTCCCTCGCTAAAATCAATAAATAAAAATTTTAAAAAGTTCAAATTGACAGTTATAAAAATAGTTACAAGATATAAAATACAGAATAGGGAAAATAGTCAAGAATATTGCAATAACTGTATGGTGCCAGATGGGTACTAGACATATCAGAGTAATCGTTTTGCAAGGTATGGAAATGCCTAATTGCTATGCTGTATACCTCAAACTAATAGAATATTGTATGTTGAATGTAATTGAAAAAAAAACCACCTCTAGGTAGAATTAGAATGGATCTTGAGTTTTTTAAGATTTTCTGAATCTCACATACATCCAATCCTATACAAAACCTACAGATACATAAGTAAAGGAGATGTGCTCCTTAAGAGAAGTCTTTGGTTTACAAGAGGATTTGGTAGTGGGGATAATCACTCCCTAATTGACAACATTTTATCATTTGGTGGCTTACAGTGGGGTCCACCCATATGACACCGGTGCCCCTCTTCCACAGCTCTGGATGAGGTGGACAGCAAAACCCACCCTCATGGACACCCCTGGGAGTGAGCCCAAGGGGGCAGCCTGGGCGCAGACCGGCCTTCCAGAGGTCTCTCTGAGATAGCCCTGCTGTGGTTTTGTTCCCCCGCTGTCTGCCTGGTTGAGCCCAAGCAATCCAGGAAACCACCCAGCCTAGAGCTGGGACTACAAAAATTTCCCAGCAGCTTCTGGCTTGCAAGTCATCTATCTTCTGTTTGGGGTCTGTTTTCCCAGCTGCACTAAGAGAGTGATCCTGCTACCTTTCCAAAGGGTTCCTTGAAGGCGGCCCTGTCCAATTTGAGAGGAAGAAGGAGGCTCTGCAATGAAATCCTAAAAGGAGTCTGGGCACTCCAGACACCCACCCTGGGCAGGGCCAGGGAGGAGTAACAGGGGGTGAGGGGGTGGAGGGGGGACCCTGGCACAGGACCTTACCAAGCTATAGACACCCTGGACCTTCCGTACAAGGCCCTAGTGGGGAGGTCCTGTGTGTCTCACAGGCAGGAGTGCTCTGCCTCCAGGGTCCAGGGCAGGAACCCTGGCCCCTTAGGAGCAGGACCACGCAGGACCCATCGGCCTGTGGCCACGTGGGGGAAGGGACAGCCTGTGTCAGCTGATCTGGGACTGATGGTGTGAGTGGAGCCCTCCCCAGGGCGCTCTGTCAAGCTTCAGCCCTCTGGCACCTCGCAGGGCTTCTGAGGTGACGCTCGCTCCCGTTCTGCTTCCACCTCACTTCCAATTACACCCGCCCGGCAGCAGGGGCTAAGGACAAACGTCAGAGCCGCTGTGCAGGAGGGGGACGCTTCCACCTTTGCAAACTCCATCGCCCCTCTCCCCGTGGAGTGGGGGTGGGGGTGCGGGGGGAGCGGGGGCAGCGGGGGCAGCGCTGGGTTTACCCCTCACAGGGGTGAGTGAAGGCCAATAAACAATCCAGAAATCACCTTCGGTCCCGGGGGAGAGTTTTGCACGGAGAGCTGGGGTGGGGGAGAGAGGCAGCCTTTCGGCAAGGGGGCCAGCGGGCAGGGAGGGGAGGGGTGGTCGCAGCCCCAGCACCGCGGGGACAGTGACGAGGACGGCGGAAGGGAAGGGCAGGGGCGGGAAGGGTCCGTGCGACGAAGGCCCGGTACTCACGTCCTCTTGAAGACGCCCCCGATGATGCTGCCCAGCAGGAGGCAGAGCTGCTGCGAGAAGAAGACCCAGGAGATCTGGGACAGCGAGGTGTGCGTCTGGCAGCGCAGGTCCAGCAGCGTGGGCCCCAAGAAGGCGATGCACAGGCCGAAGCTGAAGAAGACGCTCCAGTAGGTGAGCGTGGGCTGCAGGTTGCGGCGGAGCAGCCCGCACAAGCGGCCGTCGCAGACCATGGCCCCGGCTGGCGGACGGGCTGGCGGCTGCTGGCCCAGAGCGCGCGGTGCCCGAGTGCCGCCCGCCCGCAGAGGGCCAGCCGGGCGGGGGAGGCCGGCGGCGGAGGGGGGAGGGGAGGGGCCGGGAGGGGCCGCCGGAGAGGGGCCCCGCCCCGGGCTCGGGGTGGTGGGGGCGGGTCTGCTGCCGGCGGGCCGAGAGTCGGGGCGCGTGCCGCTCGCTCCCTCCCGCACGCACCAGCTCTCCCTCCGCCCGCGCCCGGAGACCAACCCGAGCCGCTCTCCACCCCCACCCTCCTCCCACCCAGCTCCCGGGCCCACCAGCGTCCTTACGCAGCCTCCCGGGGGCGGAGGGGCCTGAGTGCCCATTTTAGAGCCGGGCAAACCAAGAGCCCCAGCGGTGCTGTGTGTACAGAGAGGCTGGAGAGCGGAGTGTTCCAGCGCTTCGCCTGGGATCGGAGAGCTCCAAGCTCTCCCCAGACACTAGCATGGCCCGGGCTTTGGCGGTAGAGGAGGCCCTCAACCTTCTCTCTTAAATCTGGAGGCTTCACAGAGGGGCTTCCAGCGTCTGACAGCGACTGCCCCCCCCCCACCATCTTCCCCCAGAATAGAATACGAAATCTCCTACACACACACACACACACACACACACACACACACACACATTTTATTGGGAGGGTATCCATGGTTTTCATTAGAACCTGAAAAGGTTTATTGCCCTTTAGACAGAAAACCCTAGAAACTCTCCATCTTCACCGTAAGCTCTGTGGAAGGGCCTTCAGCCAGTTTTCACCTGCTGCATCTCATCTGCACCTTGGACAGGTGCTGGAAGGAGGAGGGATGCTTGGTCCAAACCCCGTCTCTTTCCTTCCTTTTTAGGGGAGTGGAGCGGGACAGAAAGGAGAGGGTGGTAGCCTGGCGGAATCCCAGGAGAAATTTGAAAATAACCCTCTAGGAAAGAAAAGAGGTCTAGGGGAAATTGCTATTTTGCTGGAAAAAGCCAGAAGGAGGAGGGGTGGGAGGATGTTGGCCTCCAGGCTGGGAGTCCTTGGAGGAGCCTGCAGCTGACACAGGCTGTCCCTCGCCCCCAGTGGTCACGGGGCCGGCATCCTTGTGAGGTCTTGCTCTTGAGCCAGGACGCTGGTCCCGCGTTGTTCCCAGGAGGTAGGGTGGCAAGGCCCTACAGCATCACCACTGCCCTGGTGTTCTGGTAGCAGCAAGAGCGATTATTCACGCCCGGTGACCTCTCCCGCCCAGGGGGACCAGGGCTAAAAGCGCGGATGAGGTTGGGTGGGGGCCCCCATGACAACTTGGTATGAGATGGGGACAACCAACTTTGCGGGCAGGTGCTGGTCGCATCTCCCAGTGCCACCGCAGCATCTGCCCCCTCCCCCTAGGCTGTGAGCACCAGGGAGAGGAGCACCGAGGTCTCTGTGGCTTAGATGGTTTGTAGGCGATGACAATTATTTGTTCGGTGATGATGATGGTGGGCCTGCACAGTACTTGTGATTAAAAACTTTTCCTCTGGAAAAATGAACAATTCATGACCACAAGCGTTTGAGTGAGTCCTCTGTGTCGCTGTCACGGAATTCCAGAATCACAGAAGCTCAGAGTTGGAAGGAGCCATCTCCAGCTGAGTCCCCTATCCCCACTCCACCCTTCCTGATAAGTGTTTGTCAGTCCTACTCCTGACTGATACCTTTTATTAACGGGAACCTTATTTATCATTTCCTGGGGGTCTGCTTCCCACCATGGGTCAGCTCTAGTGTAGGAAGGGTCTCATGCTTAACTAAAATGCCCGTCCCCCTGGCTCTCCACTGCCATCACGGGACAAGTCTAATTGCTCTTGCAGTTAGTTCTTCTCACATACAGCGACCTCACCCCAGCACTGGGCTTTTCCAGCCCAAACACCTGAAATCCTTTCCTTAGATGCTGCTCCTGAGCTACACTGGTCTGCTGGTCCCGGCCCTCCAGCCACACTGGCAGGGGCGCAGTTACAGTGAGCAGCCCGCAGCGCCTGGAGTGCTGGAAGCCCTCGACAACTTGATCTGGGTGGTGGCTCCACATACATAAACATATTTCAGTGTTCATCGGGCTGTATACTTATGATTTGTGCCTTTTACTCTATGTGAATTATATTCTGCTGTAATAGTAAAAAAGACTGTAGTGAATACAATACCCGACCTCACTACAGTCAAAGGCCTTCCTTCTTTTCTTTTTATCTTTCGCGTGGGGCCCCGGAGTTGAGACAAGCACTAAGGAAACAAGTACAGCAATGAGCTACATTGTATACTAGGGGTGCTTTGAGAGCCTGGAGAAGAAGAATCTCCTTGGCCTGGGAAGGCTTCATGGAAGACGTGATTACCGAACTAGATCTGGAAGGACAAGTATATGAAGAGGTTTTGCTTATTCTCTTTCCTTCTCTTTCTCAGTCACTATTTTCTGGCATCATCACATTGTCTGCTTCCTCCAGGAACCTTTCCCAGAAAGATTCTATCCACACTCCAAATTCCAACTAACCCCAGATCTACTCCTTGCCCCCTACTATCTTCAAGTGTCAGCTATTATACAGGGTGGGACAAAAGTAGGTTTACAGTTGCTTTTATGGAAAATAATGCAATAATTAACAAATAATAATACAAGCATAAACTCTTGTGTTTCATGTACTCACAACTGTAAACCTACTTTTGCCGTACCCAGTGTTCTATGGACTGCTAGCTGCCTCCGCCCGCCACCCTGCCTCCCCTGCAGCCAGTTAAACTGTGAGTACTTAAAGGCTGAGACTATATTTACCTGTATCTCTAACTCTTCCCCACCCCTGCCCAGGTGCCTTACAAAAAGTCCTGGATAAATAGCTGGGGAAACAATTCTCACAGTACCTTTTTAATTATTTTTTAAATTTACATCTTATCTGCCAATGATAGCAAGTTCCCCAAGGACAAAGGCTGTCCTATATTTCCTTTGTGTTTTGTATTCAAATCTCTAGCCCTGGCTGGGCACCCTTTGGTGCCCAAATTAAATTTGAAAGACAAAACCTTGGATGGTCCCTTAGCCACACTCTGATTTCCTTCCTTGTAACTTGGAAGAGAATGATCCCTGTCCCTCAAGCTCTAGAAAGCAGACTGAGACCCCCAAATATGGAAAGAATCAATAGATTGGCAGAAAGGAGCTGTGAGAGTCAGGGGTTCTCAACTCCTGTCAACTGAAATCCATTTGCCTTAAAGGCTCCTCCTCCTCAGGGAAGCTTTCTTTGGCCTTCCTAGCACCCTTCCATGGGGCTGCCAATCTAAACCATGGCTAATGATTTGTGTACTGCCGCTCTTCCAAGGTCAGGGCCATGGGATTTGTTCTTCATTGGGTGCAGGGGTTGATTCCTTGATGAGAGGTGTTTGCACTACACTGACTCCCACTCGCACCTCGAAGTTGATAAGCAATAAATCAGAGGCGCTTCTTGGGCCATCTGCAGGTGATCTACATCCTGGAATTACTCAAGGAGAAAGCAAACATGACACTATAGCAGAGTGAAATAAGAGCTGGGTACCTGCACTATAATCCTTTTATATACATTGCAGCTCTCTGGATTCTTTAGTATACAAAACCTTCCCGTGCATTTTACTTTTCTTACTGTTTCTATTAGAACCAAAACCTTAAATGGAAAAAAGATTGTACAAAGAGAAAAGCTCTGATTATCGTGACCTAGAGGGGAGTCACTGGAACTGGGACCGGATTTCATGCTTGGTGGGATCCTCTCAGTGACCACGGGCCTCCCCCCAGTCCCCAGGGCCCTCTGGGCTCTGCTTGCCAGACTCTCAGGAGGCCAGGCAGGAGCAACAGAGTGAAGTCCCCCGGTCAAGGTCATTAAGCACCTTCTACCGTTCCGGGGGCCATTCTGGGGCATGAGGCTGCCCTGCCCCCACCTCTGGATTTTGTCTTCTCAGCCCCTACCTCATTGCCTTACTGACCAGAGAGTGGAGAGTGGACTAGCACGTTCTGTCTGGAGTTGCCTTGTGGCAGGTGGCAGACAGGTTGGTGCCAAGGACTGCACCCAGATAAAACAGCTACCCTACCCCATATGAACGCAAACAACAGAGTTGGGTGTGTGCACAAAGCACCTCCTTTCCAAATATCCGGATGAATCGAGTTCTCAGCCTGCCTGGGGGCGGGGGCGGCGGGGGGAGTGGTCATTGCAGGTGCCCAGGAAGATTAGAGGGACAGGAGCAGGCGAGCAGGCACAGGGGCATCTTTAGAGTTAGACCGGTGGCCACACACATCCTGGAGGGAATGGTGCATAATACCTGGCACGTAGTTGGTACTGAAGATATGTTAGTGCTTTAAAGTGCTATTTGAAGCTGGTCTAACGTTGAGAGTTGGAAAGACTCTCTGAGATGGCCTAGTACGATCTCCCACTCAGGAACGGAATTCCATTGACAGCGTCCCTGCAGACAGCCACCCAGTCTCACCGTGGCAGGCCCAGGCCTGCAGTTGGAGGGCTCTGGGAGCCCCGGGAAAAGCTGAGGCCCTTTCCTCCTCTCCAAAACGGGGAGAATACTTGAGAAAATGTAGATAGAGCATGTAACACAGGGGCTGATGCACCCAGTTCTCAGGAAATAATTCTCCTCCTCCTTCACAACAACACAAACTGCTTTTCTGCTTTTGTACACTAGACCAGTGGCTAGCGAAGTGTAATCCTGGACCAGCAGCATCAGCCTGTCCTGGGAACTCGTGAGTAACACAGATTCAGATTCTCGAATATGCCCTGGACCTGCTGAATCGGAAACTCGGGGGACGCGGCTCAGTACTCGGTTTTAATAAACCCTTCAGCGCCCTCAGATGGAACTACAGTTTGAGAATCACTGCTCTAGAGCCACAAAGGAAAATATCTAGTTCCCATTCAACAGAGAGCCAGCCATTGATTGTCTGAAGACACTCATCTTGTTCTTCCTACATTTTATTATTCCCACCCACATCCTCTCCACTGCTGTCAGCCATTCCTCACTTATTGTGCGTCCCAGACCCTTTGCCATCCT